AATTTCTGCAGCGACTAACAAAAACGTTTAAGGCGATTAAATGGCGTCGTTAATGTTCCTCTACGCCCGGGAGTCTCACCTGCGACAGTGGCTGGCAAAGAAGTCGGAGCCGTGTCGCCAATAATTACATTCGAGGTTTTGTCGGGACGAATACGGGGGACGAAGGGATAGTCAGTGCGAGGAAACAAAAGTTGTAGCGAGAAATATGCAGTCGTGAGAATTACAACCATCGCGAGCAATATTATAGACCCGGCAGCGACCTACCCTCGCAACAATGTAAAGCTGTTACGTACCTCTCCGTATGAGGAATGGTGCGCACGTGTTTTTAATTAAATGGATCCTCTGCATTCTTGCCTCTGCACATTCCGTCTCAAGTCGCCGAGGATATTGCAGTAAAGTAAAGAAACTATGTTATAGTGCAGTTTTAAACATTTGTTGTGCCGCTAGTCTTAAAAGAGGACTTTATGACACTTCGGTCGCAGATGGTTTTCGGCCGTCTTATTGGGACCGGTAAGAGTCGAGTCAGATCAGCTACGGGCGATTTAACACCAAAAGGACCCTTAGGGGTGGGTGGGAAAAAAGGGGCAATACCAGGACGATGGTTAATGAAATTCTGTAAGCCATGCACATGACAATATAATTCCTCATTTTTCCGACTGAGCTCTTTTAAACGGAATGAAAAACTGTGCAACGGTGCAGAAACATCGAGTTACCAGTTAACGGAAATTTGGAAAACGTGTTTGTCTGTCAACCTCAACTTAGACAATGAAGGTGCGATACCTGGCGAATTGGATAGTCGCTTCTAATTCGGTCGTTTTAAACATGCGACTACAATCTGAGAAGTCGTAATTACTAAAAAGTAGTCGGGACAACCGTATTGTGAAAGATATAGATGCTCGGTGTTTCCATGCATACTTCTTAATAAGACAGACTTAAAAAACATCCGTTCTTAAACCAGCTCTCGTCTTCCAGATGTTTTTTTTTTCTAATGTAAATCGGCCGACAATGTGGACATTTAGGTGAAGGTTAGGCGAGAGAATTCCTTCTGTGCCGTAGTATAACGTTTGCTTACTAATCAACCATCTACACACTAATGTGGTGCAACGCGACCACATCAAAGAAGAGTGTCCGCGAGGTTTAGTGCAATTTCGTGATTCGTTCCCCCCACCCTTTATTGTCCTGTGTGTAGCGTATTGTAGGTGGAACATGTCAGGTGTTGCCCCGGGCTGATAGTAACAATAGGCTGCTCACTACCGACTTTTACCTGGGGCCAAGTCGTTATGAAAACCTGATGTATTGGGTAAACGTGGAGACGGCTTGTTTTAATCATACTTGCTCCTCTCGCTCCGACGTCGGGGACGGTTAGAAGAAGAAAGAATAAAAAAACTGCGGCGTTCTGGTAATTAGAACACAACGGGCCAAACAGACCCAATCCCCAGGGCAGAATTAGAGAACATTAGCTCTAGTATCGGGCAGTGTGTCAGAGATATTTCCCTCGAGGTGGTCGCTTTTATTGATCGAACTACCGATGGCCGTCTACAATGATTGGGAGTCGGCAAGTCTTCCTTTCCCCTCCGCCACCACGAAAAAAAATACTCTCTCCCGTTTTGTGTGCGGCCTCATTGCAAATCATTCTGACATCTAAAGCGGGGGAGATGGAGTGCGGCCGGGTATATAGCCTAAAACAATTTAAACAGGTTTAACCAAACACTTCTGCCCAGCGCTAGCCACCTCTTAGTCCTTCGTTTTAATAAATGCGTTCTTATCTGCCTTGGCTGCCTTTAACTGGCTTTGCAACGCACTATCTGTCAATCATCGTCGTTCCTTTCGCTTTCACTAGAAATTCCTTTTCAACGCACGAGGTCAACCGATTTCGTTTCAAGCGAACCAGAAGGGAAGACCTACTTTTCCCATTCTTCGCGATGTGTGACGTTATACCTACAAACCCACTATCAATCGACGGCGGAAAAGAGGGGGAATTCGTCAACATCCGTCATTTGTAGATAAAAGATAAATAATAAATCTCTTTATAAAAGTTTTTCATTATTCTCTTCTGAATAATCACGTGCCAGATTCTACTTCCGTAGCATTAAACCGAGGAAAATGTCTACTTGCGAATGAGAAGTATTTTGGCTCTAGTAGTAGTAGCCTGCTATAAAACGAGTCTGAAGCAGTACATTTGTTTTACCTGCTGCCATGCCAACCTGACTTAGACAGAACTAAAATTGTCATTAGTGATTCACTGGAACCCTCCTTCTTTTCTCCCGTTCTCAGCTTTGTGCCAGCAGCTCTCCAATTTGGCTATGCTCAATCATTTGGCAGCGAGAGAATACTGCAACTCTCTACTACAGCTGATACTAGTGGAGTGTGGATGAAATATGGGACTGTCAGCCCCCTTTCCTGTTCTCTGCCGCTGCCTCATTTTCATTCGAAGTTCCCTTGTAGCATTTAGGCGCCTGTTGCTTAGTGGAATTCCAAACTCTTCTTTTCGCACTAGCCTTGTCAGTTTTACTTCATTCTATCTTTCAGACCTTTCTGTCCGCTATTGGTGATAGACTAATTTCACTAACCCTTCTATAATGGAACTTTCCATCAATTATTCAGTGAAATTGCTGCGCACGTTGCTAAAATTGGACTCTATAATTGGTAATTAGAAAGATACTAGATTAACACCTCCCTTTTTTTCTCCTTTTGCTCGACTTGGTCGAATCGAGTTTTTCTATCTCTTTTTTCTACGATTTGCCTTCAGGGAACGTAGAAGTTGAAGGAAGTTGCATGTTTCAATTAGCTCACTGATAATTTATTTCTACTCGTATAAGGAAATAACAGGAGATTTCCCAGGTCTTGACACCTGCAGCTATCGTCTTGATGACAAATGGTTAGTTGGTGGTGGACGAGTTCGTGTCCAACACCTGCTGCGACATGTTATGGGACGGATAAATCGCCATTAACGGATGGGTTATTCACCTCCATTAGTAAAGTTACAATGCATTTTGATTCGGTGGCCGGATTATCGCGTTTTCTTACTGGGACCGAGGGAGGGGAGAACAGAACGAGCTAAACCCCATTAGTAAAACGTAAATAATAATAACAATAATAAAAGGAACAATAATAAAAAATATGGCCAAGCAATAAATTGAACCTTCCTATTTACGGAGTAAAACAAATTGGATCACGTGACTGACACAACGTGGAACTTTTACTCTCCGTTGGAAAATGGGTCCGACGGATGAGATAGTAAAGCTCACAGAAAGAGAAAGGGTGTGGATGTTAAAATTCACCCATTGTGCACCTGTGTACGGATGGACTAACAGGGTCATTCGGTTGAGCAAATCTGTGCTTTTTTTCGTAGTCTAGTAAGCAGTGAAATCATCGTAGATAATTCTCTGCATCTAACTAACTATAAACCGCACATGACGTTTAAATCCGCTCTGCTCATTCCTAAGTCTCATCATTGCTGCGGGTATTTGCAATTTGCCTCGGGCTGGATGCTTAACTTGTACAGGTAACGGTGATGGTTTTTTTTATCTTGTTTCATAGCGGAAGTTCCCCTCTCCTCTCGCTTTTGTTTAAAAAGCATTTTAAACTGTTGAACAATGCAGTGGTTTATCATACATTAACTTTTCTTCGTCGTCGTCTCTGAATTCCTTTTACTGTTCCGACAATCCACAAGCATTTACTGTATAAGTTTAATGTCGGTAATTTAAATAGTTAGTAATGTATTGATATCTTAAATTTTCTATGATTTAGTAAGCGGAGGTTGTTATAAATTGCCATTTAATTAGTTTTATTGTAATTGAAAATAACCGTCCTCTAGTGGGAAGTTCGTAGGATCCGTTGTTGGAAAGTAAAAAAATGTAAAACTTCCCGTTGGGACAGAGTGGAGGCGCGTGTACCCAATTTGCTTCTGCGATGTTGCACCGCTAAAAGGTTAGGTATCTACAGCTTATCGGCGTTAATTCTCCAACTAACCACTCTAGCAATTCCCAGTAGCGAGCGGTTATCTGCCGCACAGACAAATTACTCCACTTTGAATCGGAAACCCGGTTGCTCCGTCTAGTGGATCTTGTGGGAACTAATAACGGGGGTTTTTTAACCGGGGAAGTGGCGATGTCCGACCCCTTCCCTCGGTCGATTCCAGGGGGGCGAAAGGAGCGGAGGAATCGAGTCGCTGTTTAAACGCGGTGCGGGAGGCACATAACAAAACAATGGCCTCCTAGTGGATGGCCCTGCCCCATCTTTTCATCTCCGGCGGACGGCGACACGAACGGGGGAGTGGGGGCACTGCAGATTGAAGCACCATCATTTGTCACATGTGCGAGCGCCATCTTGTGGGATTTGCCGTCGGTGGCTGGGTAATTGAAAGTGGCGTCGGTGGTGTGCAGTGCGAGGCGAGCCTCGGGCGGGTGAGTGCGCCATGCCATCACCACCGGAGACCGACCGTGCGCTGGGATTCATCACCGTGTTGCTGGGGGTGATGTACATACTACACAATAACTATGGATTTTGCCCGGCTTTCTCTCTAAAATGACAAGCATCTGATGCTTGTAAGTATGTCTTTTTTTTTAGTTTTTATTGGCATTCGCAATTTGATAGGTGAACTCGAGATTTTCTTCCGAAAATAAGCTTGGATGTTAGCTAAATAAAACAATTTTTGACGATTTCTTTTTGTTTCTCTCCTCTTCTCTCACATTTTTCAATTTTTCGAAAAAATATATTCTAGATCATCATTCTCAATAATTAAAAGGAAAAAAATCTACAAAGTCAACCCGCAAATGACTGCTTCTATTCGTAATTGTTTCTGCTTGTCACGTGCGATATAATACAGATGTGATAAGTGATATTTCACTAATTTTGATTTACTTAATCGCTGTCTCTTATTGAAAAAACAGAAATCGCTTCTCGAATCATCTTCCTTTATTTTCGATTCACTCTCAAATCGGTATAATGTATTTAATGATCGGAATGTTAAAAAAGTTTTATTCTTTTTTATCTTACAGACCCCGTGCCCAGTTTGGAGCACTGTCTTTCCATCCAGCAGCGAGCTATGCGAACTCAAGACTTAGAGATAGAGAACCGACAACTGCGAGAAACATTAAAAGATTACAATCAAGAATTTAAGGAGGTCAAAAATCAAGGTAAATATTTTATTATCTGTAATTATCATTTAGAAAAAATATTTTTATAATTCTTAATGAAATATATATATATATAACCGTGTAACCGGCTGGGATTTGTTGGAAAAGCGATTAAACGCCACAATGTTATTGATAAAAAGGAAGATATGCACCTGCTGCCTTACACGCTTTTTTTTTCTCGGCGGTTGGCGGCCGGATAAAAAATTCGCATCGACACAACCAATGACACCTCTCTCCGTATCAATAGGCGCACTTAAAAATCCTCATCCCCCTAACACGGCGTCCTCCACTATTGGGAAGGACAGAGCCTGAAGGCGACCACTTCAGCCTCTGGAATCAATAACGTTCGCTCCTGTCAACTGAATATTGACACCGGACAATCTTCAAGCGGGACTTGATGGAGTACTCCACTTCTCCTCACGTTCTCAATATTAGGTCGACGCTCCAATAGCGTCAACAGCCACTTCACCTCAGCTCTCGCATCCCAACATCGGACGAAGACGACGAGCGATTCCCACTTGCAGCTAATCAAGCTTCTCTTTTGAAGCTCGACTGTCGACTCGTACGTGACCTCACCAATACATATCGGTCTATTGAATAGACGCCTTTAATGCGATACGATTATTGAGATTTCCGATTTTTCTTACTGACAAAGAAAGCTTCCAACATCTTGATAAAAGTTGTCTAGGAAAATCGTGTGATTTAAAGGAAATGTTTAGATGATAAGCGGCCGAAATGAAAAGATCGTGGGTGGTTAAATTAGCCTCGAATTCAATATTATGTATTTCGGAAGAGGCGAGTCGAGCACCAGCGAATGAATCATCACGATGAATTCAAGTCTAATGAATGGATCAATCAAACTGTTTACTCGGTTACAATCAAAGGGACCATCGTCGATACATTTGATAAATTTAGGAATTTTATATTATTTATTTTTAACATAAATCCCGGAAATGATAGGATTTAACTATATTCTTTTAATAGACATTGTGTAATGTTTATGGAGAAAGTTGCGCCGTTAAAAAATAATAATAATAAAATAAAAATTCGCTTCGGTTTGTTGATAAGAATGAAATACGCTTTTAAACCGAACTATATTGACAATACACGATTGAGAGTGAAGGGGAAAAAAAGAATGTTGCACGAAAGGTCGTTTCCGTTACCATTTTTCCGAAAGTACAATCTGGGATGATGAAATTGAAAGGGGGTCAAAGGAATCGAGTTGGTCGAGATTCCTTTGTTTTTGGTACAGCGTCGTGTATGGGAATGTGCGAACAATTTGTTTTAATTACGAATTAACATAATTATTAATTATTGTTGCTATCCTGATGCGTGATTGATCACAACACGATCTTAAAATTCTAAATTAGATTTCATTCTAGTTTATAGGAAGCCGGTTAAAAACCTGTTATCAATTTCTAACGCTTCTTTTTTTTAACAATAAATGGAGTAAAAATAATTTATTTGTACTACATCTGAAGGTTTGGGTATATTAATTAAGATAGCGAGAGAAACAAGCAAATTTGTGAACATGTTTCATTAATAAACATGCTGAATCTAGGCATATTTCCAGACTATTTCATATTCCTAAGATTCCCATTTCCAAAAATAGTGCAAGCTGTAAAAATATTCTCAGATTTCTAGATATAAAAAAGAGTCTACTGGGCACATTTTATTTCGGTTCCTTCTCTCACCGATATAGGCCAACTAATAAATTTTATTACAAGCAGGTGGCCTACTAGGCTTAAACCCTGCTAAAGAAAGATTTATAGCATTTTATAGGAAATTTCGAGATGTGATATTTAGAAATTAACGTCCTGGTATAGCTATGAAAGATGATAAAATTGTTAACACAAACCACACGAGCTTTGATGGGAATTGTTAATCATTTCATCTTAAAATAATTCCCCGAGCATAATCTGTTATTCTGCTGTCAGTTTCTCATCTTTGCCACTTATCCTGTTGCGGATCAAGTAATATTTATCATGCCTTCTTTCTTTTTTTCTCTGCGTATGCAATTGTTAATTTTGCTCCGTCTTTATACAATTTATCACGATAATACTTCCTCTTAATATCTTAGAAACGCAATTATGCCTTATTAGAATTATATTATAAAGACAAAAATCTGTTTTAAGGCTATCTGATTTCTTCATTCCATTACGGTTTAAGTACTGAATATATATTCGATTTAATTTTTGTGTAAAGGAAAAAAAATGACAGCTTAAAAAATAAACAAATAAATATTGAGATAAAGTAAATGAAAATTAACTTGATTATTTTTAACTTTCCTGGGATAATTTGTCTGCAGGGAATTTGATTTTTCACGCTTATAGTTTTTCTAAAAAGCAACTGCATTTGTACAGCTGTATTTTAGCATTACATGCGGAGAAAACATTTTGTAGTCGTCAGAGTGCATTGACAGAAGCAAATCTCTAAGAAAGAATCATTTGCCTTCTAAAAAAGGGAGGAGTTTTTCCGGTAGAGCTCTGCTGCAAAAGGTTTTGTGTTGAGAAACGTGACTTTGAAGTCATCGAGTAGAATTTAACCGCCCTGTCCGTCTCCAGCCATGTAATTTAAGTGTCAGGTGTGAAGATGTAGGCCATATCTAAGCTAAGTAGCCAACGAGTCGCTGCTCCTTATACACACTTGATTATAGGCGATGTTTTGACAGGATCGTTCTCTGCTAGGTAAATTTTCTATCTGACACCGTTTAGAAACGTTAGGAAACTTCAACTCACTGAATTCTTAATAGCCTAATTAGTTTGGATTGTATTTATAAAAGTTGGACTTGTTGGCGTTTAAAAGCCGTTAATTAATTAGAATTAATTAAAATATTAAATCATCGGCCACTGTTTTCTACTTACTCTCAACTGATATTGTTCATTTTTTACGTGTTATAACCCGACCGGTTGTCGTCTTTATCACCTCATTTTTTGAACGAAAAACAAAGGAGCCAATCGCTCGTAGCAGTTAAAAAAAGATAACAACATTATCTAGATTTAAAAATAAAATAAAAAGTCCTATTTTAAAAAATTAGCCTAATTTTCTCTCAAACTAAAAATAATAGTCCCACTTTCCAAAACCGTAACTAAATTTATAAAAGGATGAAGTCAAAATGTCGATTGAATCGTTCGAGTTTTTAGAAGAAAAAAAAAACATAAATTCTCTCAGGTTGATTTATGACAATTTAGGTTATTTTCCCGTATATATTATACTTTCCAAGATCGTTTGAGTTTAAAAAAAACTGCAGATTTGCCCATTAAATGGTATAATCTATTGGATGAAAACTAGGACAGTAAATGATTCCCGAAGTAATTGAAACACTTGTTGAATTCGCTTTGACTATTATCTCAAAATTTAAAGCGAAGAAGAAGAAGAAAAAACATGATTTGCAAAGCTATAATAAACATTGACTCGTTAAAAAAAAAGATCGTGAGACAAAATATTAAATAGGATAGCTTCCTTGTATATATCAAAAGCGTAATTCGTCCTATTTCTAAGGGCAACGCTCCACCCTGGTTGACCATCGCAATGGTTGACATTCTGACCGCATGTGGTAAAAAGATGACACTTCCTGGACAAAGTGGGTGTGTTTCGTGAACGTTCGAGACCCCGTCACGATTTGTTTTCTGTTCTGACACTTTGATGACTCTACTTGGTATCCAGGTTGGGACGTGATTGGTTTCCTCAATGAGGTTCTGCATCGAGAACGAACTACCGACATCAAACATATCGGTATTAATAATTGCTAATTTTCACTAAACATACCAAAAGTATGTGCATTATGACTAATTAGTTTTTTAAAAGTCTAATAATCCGTTATCAACTTTAAATTCCGGAGTAACCTTTATAAATTTCTATTATCTGCCATCGGAATCTATCGCGTTAACTGATTCTTCTAATATTTATAACGGGAATTTTTTATATGAAATTTAGTAAATGGTCCCCGAGATTTTAATTTCGATAAGAATCCAAATGGTCATATATTTATATATATATATGATATTTAAAAATATCGCATATTCCTGGAACGACGAGTGATACCAGATATCTATTGTTAGTCTCCATATCTCACTTTGTGGAATCGGTATTTAGGCTAACTTCCTAATTTAGTCAATGCACAGTTTTGTTGAATTTATTTGCGAATCAATAAATTAAAATAAACTCGAGCCACAATTTTTGCACGTTCGTTTTCTGGGACATTATGAAGTCAGCTGATGACCTCCGAACTACAAATTGAGGTCAAGAAGAGAAAAACATCATTTTCCCCGCAGTTCACTTCTTTCAGTTTTGCAGAGGTGATAATCATTAAAGCTATTGTGTTGTTGTCTCTGAGAAAAATCCTACGTTTAAAAAAAAAGACGGAAAATAAAACAAAGAGATAAATGGTTGTTAAGACTTAAAGGATATTTTGTTTTCCTGCAATATTTAAAACCTTTGCAGACTTCGCTAAAATATCTAAACCATCGAAAAGCGATGAACAATAATAATGATAACTGCACGCCTGAAACTTTTATGATTGTTTACGATAGGAAGAAAAAAAAAATGGCGTAGAAGTCGTTATAGAGGATGGTCAATTCCAAAATAAACCGTGGTTATTGTTAGAAGGAACAATAACCCTTTTGGGTCGACTTCGAACATATTCCCACACACACACACATATATACCCGCACAGCATCCGAATGTTGACAACGTAAACGGGGCCACTGGCTAGCGTCGATATCTTGTCCCGTTTGAAAAGCAGGTATACAAGAGTTGCGAAGTAGGACTTTTAAATTGAGAGGGATAAAGGTTGAGGACCGATGATAAATGGTTTAAGCGATTTGAGGACAACGGGACGTGATTGAAGTAGAGATAACTTCCGTTGCTCCGCGACTTGTCCGTTTCTGACCGACAACAATGTGCGGGATTAATTTTTGGTTTAGGAAGGTTTTTATCTTTTGGTGTGAACTATAAAACACGAGTCTGCAGTTGACGCGGAAGCGCCGTGATACTTTATAAATGATGTTATCGGAGGCGGAATTAAAGGTACTCGACACTTTGTGGGCTCGAAAATTTCGTATCTTTGTAAATATTTGTCGCTTGTTTTTTTGACATTTTAGCCACCGACGGTCGTTAATCTTGTAATACGAAGAAATAAATTTGATTTTATTTATGGTTCCGGTTTGGAATTTTTTTTTGGTAGAAATAAATCGACGGGATTTAGAATAAACAAAAAATAACTAAGCTGTCGTGTTCGATATAAAGATTAGTCTGGTCCTGGCTGCTGAAGTTTCATACCCGCTTAGGAAGAGGTCAAAAGAGAGAGGCTCTAAAATTTATCGACATAATACATTGGTGTAAAAATATTAAAAAAAAAAAATAGAAAAAATAATTTTTTTTAAATCCTGCAAGAATTTTTGTTAAATAGTTACTCTTATATGCCAGCTTCCATTTGATAATTACATTTAAGGTATGTTCCCTTTATGGTTGTTTATTTAGTAGCATTTTTTAATGGTCTCCTATTAATACAGAAAAAATCCGATTAGGATACGCACTAAGTAGTTGCCGTTAAAAAATTCCTAAATTAATTACCAGACTAATACGTCCGCAAACAGCTAGTCATAACCATTTGAATTTTTTCTTTCCTCCCCCTCTCTCTCTCTCTTTGGTATCTTTACCAGTATCATTCTTTTATCGGTGCGGTTTCTTTCTTTTTTTTTTCTTTTTTGTATCGAACTGAGTCTAATAAGATGAATAAAATTATTAAAAAACCGTTGTCATAAGTAGGTAGAAAGGCCTATCTTAACTATTATTAAGGCACGCAGAGAGTAATTAGGAAGTAATGATCTAATAGCTAGACTTACGAAACGCGTTGGTGAAATAGTTTCGGCCGATGCCGACTGATTGTTACTGATATAGAGATCTGTTATCATTCTAATTTCAGTTTTCCATCAGATTAATTAATCGATTATGTTAGCAAATTGCAGAATAGCCCAATTGCCCTCTTGTCATTCAATGCACACACTGGTATATCCGTTTGTAACTGCTATCTGATAGGGGAGAGGCGTCAGTCACTGACCCGAACCTAGTAGTGGAGGTAAATACTCTTCAGAAATACCCCCTCGTTCAATATCCAATATCGGCCGGCTTCCACTTTTAGTATTTTTTCTTACTTTTTTTTTTTTGTTAAGACGATTTTCCCCTCCAGATCCGTAGCCGTTTTTTGCGGGTTTTCATTGAATTTTTCTCGTTTTTTCATTGCTTTTTCAAGCAGAAGTGAAGTCAGTTATATCTGGCAAATCAACTTGTTCGAACATTGCTCACTTTTGCCGCTTCGTAGCACCCAAACGACAGCCACAACGACAGGAAGTCATAAAGAAAGTAAAACCTCAGTGTGCCATGACGGTCAGCCAGTCACTGATTGGATATATCATCATCATTGTCTGCTCGGCTCGTCGCCATTGTCCTATTTAATACCAATAGCCGAAGTAGAGAGAGAGGTCGATCGTAAAGAAACATTCATTAACCATCCGAGGGTAGTAAGAGAAAGTTTGACGAATCGGACGGGGTGGACGTGGCGCATTTTCGCCACCGATCGTGGGACGGACGGGCGATAGAAGTAATCAAATTGCTTATATCACCGTAATTACAAGGTGACAGATGTACTACGTTCACATGTCGTCAAATTTATTGCTAACATCGTAAATTTGATCGAGAACACAATATAGCCGATGACGTAATATCCGGTTTCAATCCTTGTAAATACTTTCGCTCTTCTTGGTAATGCGTGTCAGAGTCTTATGGGCACGGATTATTTATCGTCGGTTCAGAATGAGGTAAGAAATTCTCTCTATTGATAAAGGAGAAGAGAAAATTCAGATTTTGCGCAATTTCCTTTCGAAGAATAATCACAATCGCCCACCCCGCTCTACGTATATCGACGTTTTTCGGTTGCACAATCGATGGTAAAAAGAAAAAAAAAACAAACATTATCGAACATTTTTATACAAGGAATTAGAGTATAGACCGTTGTAGTATTTTTCTTTTGCTTTTTTAGGTCACTTCAAGGATCAGCGAGTAATTTTTATTATTTCAACTATTATAGCTATTGCGATATTTCCGAAATTATTATTATTGTTTTATTTTTATATTATTATTGTTGTTGTTGTTATTATTATTTATTTTTTTCATTAAAAAAAAAGAAAACTTTTTATTTTGATGACGAAATCTAGCAGGAAAAATTTTTCCGTTCAATCGAAGGGAACCGGCTCACCTTTTTAAATTGATAATACGAAAAACACGACATAATTATAGCTTTAATATAATAATAATGGCTGTTAGATTGCACAATCGAACGATTAAAAAATGACTTATCATAAATCGGAAGAATTGCTTTCTTAAGCCTTATTTGGGTGGTCCTCGCGCGGGTTTTCCCCATTAAATACCGGCGTACGGCCAACAGATTCTGTGGTAAAGAAAAGCGTCACGGCTATCCGACGACACCTTTTTTTTGTCGTGTAGAAAGGCCAGAAGGGGGGAGTAAAAGCATAAAACATACACACGCTCGGCTATTGTTTAACTTAAGACTGGAAAAATCTTTTATTTTTTATTTTTTGTTATGCCTCCTCTTCCGATTGGTATATAAATCCTTCTCTTGTGTGCGAGTCCACGGAGCGGAAAAAGGATATTCGAAAAATCAACCTGTCTATTGGCACGTGTCGTTTGAATAGAGAAATAACAATGAGAGAGACCGAAAGAAGAAACGTTTCCGTCCTTAAGTCAATGACGAGTTGTAAATAGCCTTGGCGGTTGTGCGGACGGAGTAGCGTGATCGAGTGCCCTCCCCGTTCGAAAAAAAAAGACTAAATTTCCCGTTTGTTTTTCTCCGTCTGGTGGACGCAGCTAAAAAATGTTTTGGCTGTCGTAAAGCGGTTGGAAGAAGAGAGAAGCAAGACGGAACCGGGGACGAGCGTGTAGAGATAGGTTGCGGGTGTGTTGCCAAACATTTAAACTAGTTAATAGTCGAGGTGAGTCGGTCTGTACGCGCTCACTTCGTGCCGTTGGACAACGTAATCGTTATCGTATCTTGTGGGAAAATCCAGTTCGTGTTTCTACAGTCGATCAGCGTTAGAATAGCAATGATTGGTGTTGAGATAGGATGATCAGAGCGAACGAGTTCCGGGAAACAGGAGTTGTGGGTGGTCGAAAGTCATTTACGAACTTTAATCCAACGTCCGGTTTGGTCGTCCTTGGCCCAATATTGTCGCGCAATCACTGACGACTGTTGCAGACAATAGAGGGGACTCTCCCAACCAACCTACATCCGGGCAGAGCGGGGATGTACAGGTGCGAGAGAATACCTTCGTATGGAACTCGTTTCCGCGCTCGGCATTTTTCTAGGTTGGTTTTAATCGCGGTTTTCCAGTTAACTTGCGCGTTTCGCGTGCCAAACGGGCGACGGAGAAACGCACTTATCTGCATATCGGCACACAAACCGCCGCGATCGACGTAAACGGTTACCATCCGTTGCCATGACGATTCCGCCTAATGATGGCTCCCGTTGCTTCTGATGCCATCTGGTGGTTGACACGGAAAACTGACGTCACGGTTACATCACCGAGGGTTGTCCTGCCGTAACTGCGTGACGTCATCCGTCTTCTGTTTCTTTCTCCAGACAGATTGTTCTTATCCTTTTGACAAGTCAGACAAATTGTCGACCGCGAAAGAAGGGAAACCGAATAAGAAAGGAAGTACTCTATAAAAAAAAAGTCGTCACCCGAGAGCCAAAACCGTTTTCCTACTATTACAGTGGCATTTAATTCGATGTGACGACCGTCCGACGATTTGTAATAATAAAGAAATTCGCATTCTTCGGTTATCCGGCAGCGACCGCGGATCAGACGGAACGACACCAAAGATTTAAAGTTCGCTCTGCCAGTGAATTATGGTCGATCGTCTGTCCCCTCCCACCACACAAACTCGGCTCTCCTCACCTTAGCTCGACTAGCCACAGCCATTGATAGAAGGAATGGGAGTTGTGATCATTGCTCTGCTAAGAATTGATTTATTATGTTTACTGTAGCTTAGAATTACGACTCTGGGGTCTGCGATCGGGAGAATGGGGAAAGTTGGGGGAGGGGGGCCAACGGTTTCCGGCCACCATCGCCTGATTTATATAGGAAGGGGGGAGCGCCCCGTAATGAGCTGTGCCCAGCAATAACGATCAATAATCAGGAAATGGATTCAATAATAGGATCACGTGCAGCTTTCCAATAAAGGGGGAAAAAAGAAAACCAACGCTGCCATTTGTCTTGTCCGTTTTTGCTGCTCTCTTTCTTTCTCTCGTTTGTTGTGGCGATTACTAGACTGTGCGATCAGGGTGGTCTCTTTATACAATACCGTTCGTTGTTGTGTCATTGTTGTCGATGTTTGATATTTATGCAAGACCACCCCGGCTGTTTGGGAATGCCCCTTTCTGATTTCACTCTTTCTTATCTGCAGAGGTGACAATCAAACAGCTAAAAGAACAACTGAAGCAACATGAAGACAAGTTAGAGAACACGTTACAGGTAAGCATTTTTTACTTGTACTTTTTTTTTATTTAATTCTTTTTAAAACCCTTTATTCCAATTCTTGAATATATTCCCCACTAGGCGCATTTGTTATCGTTTTTTTCTTCGTCTTTCGCGCGGTTTTTCCCCGTTTCTACGCGACATTTCCAAATGGAAATAATTACAACTGATGAATTTAATTTGGCAAAACTGTTGCATATGTTGATTCCATTTACGCATGCGCTGGTGTAATAACTCCGGTGATGGATTTAAGCCAATTGTTTAAATTCCTTACTCTAATTGGCTTGTTTGGGCTCTTTACTTTCATTGTCTTTTATTTATATATTTATTATTATTTTTTTAATTTTTAACCATTTTTAATTGGAAAAATACTTATTTTTACCTAACTAAAATGGGTATTGCCTCTTGAAAAATATTCAATTTCGTTTAGAGAGAATTGCTTACATTATGAAAGTCGGGCAAAGCTTAGACCAATTAGGCTAAATTCGCGGTTTCTTTTACCAGAATAACCGCACTGTCGATCACGTGGCTACTTGTTTTATGTAGAAATTTCTTGTCGACGACGTTTGCAGCAATATACGCCTTAATTCTGATTATTATGCACACTCCGGGTTTAATGTTTCAAGTGTTTTAGCTATTTTTTAAGCTGATTAATGTACGTTTTTTTGCATGCCAAACGCAACATTTAATCACGATATCCCGAAGGAGTTTATCGTCATTATCTATAATTCATTATTATATCAAAACACAAACGAGGAAGAATAGCGACGTTTACTTAAAATTAAAACGAGCTATAATAATAATCAAGTATGCATAGATAGCTGCAGACAATCCTTGAACAATTTGACCTCTTTGTACACATACGAATACTTATCATTAATAAGCTTCCTGCAAAAATTAACATAAACGAAATGTGTTGGCATACTCTTTGTACACGAAACGTTTCTACCTGACTCTTAAATTATATCTAGGAACCGTGATTACGATCTGTTTACTTTATTGTCGAGTTGAAGATCGTGTTTTGACCTTCTAAACAAAAGTCGTGAATAGAGATATATAACATTTTCAAACAGTCCTTGCAAGATTTGTTTCTAAGACGTCTAAAGTTTAATACAGTGTAATCATAATAGGCATACGCCAAAGATTTTAATTAGGGAACATAATTCATAAGTTTCTCTACACGAAGGGCGATTCAATACAGGCCTATAATCTAATCATTATTTGATAGATCTACCTAATGAAAATTCATTTAGTCCTTCTTTTTTTTTTATAATCTGTCAGTTAGAAAGTTTGTATGAATATTCGCAAAATCAGGAATTTTTCAGCCACAGTTTACTAATTAATTATTTCATATACAAGTGATAAATTTTAATTAAAAATGAACAAATTAAAACAATTATTTCAATATTATTGATTACACGACTGTCGTTCGGTTAAGATTTTCATATAAATTCGGCTGCATTCAGCCGTTATTTTGAATGAATAATTAAAACGTTTTCAATATTCTGAATATTTATTATACACATATTTTCAAATATCAAAATCTATACTATGTAATATTAGAAAGAACGCATCAATTTTTCCCTTCTTTTATTTATTTTTTTAATATTTAAGAACGTACAATACAGTCCATTTCATTCCGTATATTCACACTGTAATCGAGTTTGTAAATTACCTAATCTCATACGTTATAATCTGATGTTTTGCATACAAAGTGGTAATTTATAAAGTGTCAAATCTATTATTATTTTATACACAAATAATTTCTTGTGCAATGATAATATAAGACTTTCCTCCACATATTTTAGATATAAAGTTATCTATCCATGTGGTATTTTATAGATATAAAGCTATCATCCAGTCTCGATTCTATTTTGAGATACACAGACACCATTATTATGCGTATATTTTTATGTAAAGCAGCTAAGTGAATACCTAAAGATATCACAATTCCATTCAGCAGGAGGAAAAGAAAGAAGAAAATGTCACCTAGATGCCAAATCTCGTAAACATCAACTGTTGGGATCAGATACTTTTAGTCAGATGTTTAATTTCCCGCGAGATACCGCTACTTTAAAATAGTTTTCATAATAAAAAATCCAATTTAATCTATTTTGGGTCTGTCCTCGTCGACCGCGATCGATCAATTGATAGAAAAGACCTTGTCTTCGATAAATTTTGGCGTCAACATCGCGTCGCGAAGAGATGGAAAAAAATATCGAGAAGAAAATAACTAGAATGTTGGTAATGTGTATGTTAACAAGTTTTCAGACGAGAATCTTCCATCGGCATCGTCGCCTTAACACGCGAATAATAGCAATCCTGTTAACTAAATGTTTAACTATCGAACATCCGATATGACATCACGTACAATAACCGTACAATACCAACAACTGCGATTCTGTATAATTCTCTTAATGTAACCTAATTTCTGTAGATTTTATTGGATATGAATAAACGCCTATTGTGAATTCAATAAAGCGTGTGGCACGAAGACGTCGTGAATTTATTACGCGATATTTTTTTTTATATCTGTAAAGAAGTCTTTTACGAAATGATAATGACGAGAATTTTTACTCGTTAAACTGAAAAAAAGAAAATTAATTTTCAATAGAAATTAATAAGGAATTAATAAGCTCCTTTCAGTTTAAGTTCGAAGGGACAAATATGCAAATTATACGTTTTATTATGCATTTGAAATAGTTTCGACACAATAGGAACGTAGCAGATCTCCTTTTAGTAGCAAATCATCCGTGTAAAGAAATCGTCGAAGGTTGTTTGTGTAGAAAGTAGCGTAATTTAGTAGCGAATAATGCCATAGCTTGCCACAGGGACTGGACGATCGACAATAGTTTGCGGCTTGATAGAAACTAAATGCTAATCTAGCAAGGAGTCCTCCTTGTTTTTTTAATACATTTTTAACAAAAGAGGATAAAAAAAAATATTATATTTTCTACATAAAAGGAAATATTCGGTTGGCCAACTGATTATCCGAATTTTTTTTCCTAACGTCTCTATTGAAAGAACATGATTATCGCAAAGGTTAAATGTCATCTATAGTGAATTGAAAGGAAAAAATATATGTGTATAACTTATATACGCTTTTTTTTAATTTGAAAATATCCTTAGACGATTATAATTATTATTATCTAAAAGGAATTAGTATATCTTTAATTGAGGGGCGACAAAAATAGTTCCGTTGAAGACGAGATATTATCAAAGGCTTTGATTTAACAGATGATTGCGCACTAATTACAAAATTATGATAGAGGCAATTGGTTTGAAGTCTGCATTACGACCAGAAATTTCGAATTATTATCGAGATGCGGCTGAAAATAGCTATTCGAACGATTTCTCGGCCGTCTTTGGCTTATTAAATCAACCTCTTTTTGATATAAGTGATGCAACGGCCAAGATCCTCTTCTCAATTAATTCCCGGCATAAATAACTCGCGAATCGATATAACTTGATTTCAGACAAAGTATGCTTTTGTGTAATTGCTTCGTGGTTATGGTTAATTAGCTCGCATAGCTTAGGTCGAGCCTCACGTCGAGAAATATTCCGAGAGTTGGAAATTAAGTCAATTTATAGTTACAAGATTTTTGTAATCAGATAACATTTAACGCCATTCTATACATAGATATTTATTAATGTATATAAATGCAATAGCTTATATTTTTATTTATTTTGTGATAAATAGCCTTAGAAAGAGATTATCTTGATTTATTTATCTTTACTTCGAATTTGGTTCAGTTGAAAGTTCTAAACAACATATCCCGTCTTTCTCCAGTAGAGAGGAGGATAACTTAAATTTCTCATCTCGACTTAAAATTGATTTATTTTGTTGCCCATGGTTCGGTGTTGTAGCTTCCTCACCTGTTCAAAATATAGGCCTAGTTGATAAGTTTGACGTTAGAAGCTAAGTAGACAGAAGTGACAGAATGACAGGAGGTCTTAGTTGACCCTGTGCTCTCCTATTGACAGGTGCGGGCGAAAGAGAAGGAGAAGGAACTACAGAGACTGCTGAGCGAGCGTGAAAGACAACTGAACGAGAACCAATCTATTCTATCTCAGAAAGTGAAAGAAGCCGAGAAGAAAATCACCGAGCTCCAAAGTGGTGAGTTGCCGGCCCGTCGACTCTATCACAAATTAATAAGCGGGAATTGTCCGAGTGAATAGTTTAATAGCGTCGATGCTAATCTGGCGGGATTGAAAGAGGCGGAACAATCTCGTATGCCGGCATGACGGCACAATCGCTGAAGAAATTCCATTCTTTCAATTCCTCTCGTAGCCAGTCTTGGTTTTGGCCGAAGCAGACAAAAGGCATTGGACAGAGTAAATTGTAGTGTGGGTAAACGATTCGCTTCCATTAGATGCTCGGTGTTGGTAAAAGGATGAAATATTCTGCAGAAATACTTTCGGTACCATTACGAGAAATGACTTTTGGGTGAGAAAGAGAAACAGTTGAAACTGTCCTGACTACTTTATATTGGCTGCAAACATCGAAAGCACACACACACCAGCTACCTTTTGTTCTTTAGGAATTTAATTGCAAATTTAATCACTTCTCTTACATTTTTCCCTTCTGAATAATTAGTGCACCAATTCTTGAATTATCTTAAATGAACAGGGAAGGATATTAACATTTCCAACGTTGACTCTGTCCACTGGCTCATCAACTTCTGATGTTAGTCACTAATTCACATTCAGCTTAATTTACTCATAATTCAACCTGTCTTGGTCTTTCCTTAATAGAAGGCAATAATAATAAACCCTTCTTTCGCGACTATAAGTTTCTGCTTCTAGCAATGCGGGAGCTTTCAGACTCTTTTTTTCTTTCCCCCTTTTCTCTTTCGGTTTGGATATTTTTAGCGATTATTGGAGGAAAATGGAATCTCGCAGGATAAGTTTAATTTCTTCTCTTAGTCGATACCTTAACCTGTTGTACGGCTGGCATTTTCATTTGCATGAAAACGTAAAGAGAACGAAATACGAGACGGAAAACACTGTCACCCTCCGTGATATATATTTAATTTGTTTGCCGAATTTAGCAAAATTATAATTTGCACCTTAACGACTTTTAGTTAATTCGAGAACTTTTAGATTATTCTGCCTCGATCAACCGGGCCTTAATAATTAGCTCGATAGATTTTTAGAAAACCGCGTCGCTTTTTCTCCTAATTATTAATAATAATAAACAATTTTCGCGCTCCATAAAATTTCCGCCACCGTCCCTATCTGGAGCCAGACCAATGTTTCTTTGTGAGATGGAGGAATCATCAACTCGATGACTCTCTCGGCCATTAAGGTCAGTCCCTTACAAGTCATCCAGCGTTAACTACGGCTCAGTTAACTAAGTGCTGTTCCTTACCTAGGTTTTTCGAGACGATCCGAATACTCGGATGTAATCGGTTTTCGAACCATCGCCCACGGCTAAATGATAGTTCTGTTATTCTTTTTTTCCTCTTTCTTTGCAGCCTTGGAACGTAGTCAATCCGAACTGTTCGATTTGAAATCGAAATACGAAGAAGATTCACATGCCAAGTAAGTTAAAAACTTTCTAATCCGTTAATCCGGGGGGTATTAGGAATTTTATGGATTTCGGATCAGACGGGGAATTACTACATGTTTATTATTTTATGTCTTTTGCGTATCATTAAACACGCGCAGAGAACTTTTATGTACCGGAATAGATTTGGAATTTTTCTAGTTTGGTTTTTCACCGCATCATTAGATTTTAAGTTAAGGTAATTTTTTTTTTTTTTTACAATAATTCTTTCGAAGAATTTTCTAACTTATCAGCCTCATTTCGAAGCTAAGCAAACACGACGACGAAAGGATTTAAAACCTGCAATGGTTTTAAATCCTTTTGTCGGACGCATTAGTCGACTTCGCTACGTTTTTAAGCTTTGTCCTGGCTGGTGAACGTGTCAGCGTGTCGATACTGAAAGATTAAGGCAAGTCACACAACCGGATTTATCTAAAAAGATGCCAATTAGTAGCAATGATCGAAAGCGAAGAAAACTTTTATACGGTCCAACGTTAAATAAAGTTATTAATGTTTATTCTCTTTCAGGTCAGATGAGATGGAAATCATCATAAACGATCTCGAAAGGGCCAACCAGGTGAGTGAATGATCGATCTACTTGATTGATTACACGAAATGATGCCTATACGTAATCATGTACTTACTGTGGGCATTATGAGACTGTATGGTTCTTTTTGTTGGCATATACGTTCGTCCACCTTTTTGGAATCATTGTCTTTGTAATTGCTCGGATGGATGGTAAGAAGTACCGGATTTTTATTTTTTTGTAAAAAACTAATGTTTTGAATACAAAAGCGAGGGAGGGAGGAGTCGTTGTCGATCGGCTAGAACGCGTGGCGGGTGGAGAATTAGTGACGGCTAAAAACCTTCCACGACTTAATGAGGATGTCCACACGACCAGACCGGAAGTCACAGGCGATTGTGAGAAGAAACAATTATGGAAACTTTTTTTATATATATTATTCTGCTTTGTTCTGATCTTTTTTTAATCTCTCCTTCGTAGGAAATTCGGAGAATTAATGATATTTAGTCTCTATCCTAATTTTAATTGCTTAATTAAGCTCGTATTTTGCCTATAAGTTACTATAATTCTTGTTTAGCTTGCGTTACTTTGAATTATCTTACTCTACGCTTCGTTTCTTAAATATTTATTTAGTAAGAAAATATTATATAAGACACAAACACGAAAAATAACGCATAAACGACTTTATTATTAATTTAAAAGCGAAATTTCTCTGGTGATATGTGATGAATGTCACATCATCTAACGGGGAGAACGTAAACAAAACATTATTATGCCGGTTTTAATTAGAGTAAATAAGAAAAATGACTAGAAACAATTTTTAATTCGTGTTTGTTCTCAGATAGATGAATTACCAAATGGTCCGTAAAGACCTTCGGGCAACAAACTACTTCGGTTCTTAACAATCCCGCTCCACCCTCGTCGCGTATATATCGTTTGCAGAGTCGAAATCGTGGCTATCACGCGTGAGTAAACGTGACTGACATGTTCCCACGCACCGTGTGTCAACATCCTTACCAGATTGGTGTAACAAGTGCTGTCGTCTGATTGGAAGAGATGATGCGGATGGTTGAACTCAGAATAGTTTGAATGTGATCACCTACCATTTTGTAAAAGACACAGCCACTAATTTTAGTCTCGAGTTCGAAGCTCGATTTGGATGGACGACAGTCGGATAGCGATTCGTCATCTTGTCCATAATATTAAGCTATGAAAGTTATCCTGTTTCGCCATCCGTGAGATGATGCTCTCTTGTATTCCGTTTCGTTTTCAAATCCCATAAAGAAAAGGAAGCTCGTTTTTTATAAAAAATGTGACTTATTTTAGTGGTATTGATGCCATTCTCCGTACAGAATTTAATCTGCAATTATCTAGACCAAAGCCGGATTGTTAGCGATGCTATCATTAACGATTCTGTTTTTCCTTCTTAGAATATGTCCATTCGACAATATAGCATTTGAGTCTTAAATATAAAACTTTATCTACTTATCTTTTTGGTCTGAATCTCTTGTTTTCGTTTTATAACGAGGCACCCCTTGAACTGTTTTGACACGAATTAGATTTATACTTTAAACAGGGAAATTTATGGTAACAAAAATTCATATAAGTTCTACCTGCGGGGCTAGCGGCCATGTTTTTTTCTTCTTCTTTATAATTTTGAAAAATAGACGGTCTCGTTCATCATTCCCAACTCACCAATATTTTTAATAAGCCCGGGGCTTAAACATGAAAAATGTCGCGAGACCAGTAAACAGTAGGTCTATGACGTGACATTATTTTTAAATGCATTATTTTGTTTGATCTTTTGGATAGCTTATCATTCGTTTTATAAAAATGCCGAAACGTATCGAATATATAAACAGGGATATCTGTTGAGGAGATATTAATGGCGGAACCGAGGTGATTTATTGGTTAGAAAGATAGCGAAGAGCCACGCATGGTCCAGATCTGTTGGATCGGATCCTTTTCAGCAAAAGATAAACAAAAGCGACCATTAGAATTCTCTATACTCTGTCGGGTGGCATAGGCATTTTTCGATCCGAGCGGCCAAACGACCTGGAAGCGAGAAAGGGGGGCGGAAAATGGAATTGGCACACGCACCTTGAAAATAGACCCGACAATAACAAAGGCAAAGTGTAAAGCCGTGCGGGCAACTGTTAGCGTGACTGTTTACAGATGTTTGAGAAGGGCAACTTTCGGTAGCCGATTTAAGAATGCCGTCGACTGGACGAGATGGAAGGGGATGGAAAAACTACCTACAGGAAAAACAGCCAGAGAAGTACCTAGTCACGCACAATATGCGGAGATTGCAGCATCGGCTATTTTCTCCCCAACCTTTTCTTGAGCAATTTACATCTTTAGCCGGACAGGTGAACGGACTACCCGCCCACGCCTCACAGGTACACTATTCTCATCCATCATCTCTCGAGATTTGCCACCGACAAGTAACACTATTGTCGTGGCGGAACTGCACCAAATTGCCGTCCTTGGTTGCTATGAAGACGTCGCCTAACCTTATTACTGGAAAAATGCCGATTACGAATAGATTAGGAGGATGCGCAACATCGTCGGCATAATAAACAAAAATAGTGGCCCAAGGGTCCTGGGAATGTCCTGCTTCGTAATGATCTCACAGGTGTCCCGGATAGGTTCTTACCTGATGATTGGACGCGGGGATAGCCTATTTTATATAGAGGTCGTCACTTTTACTCTTTCCCCTTCGCGGCGGGTGACTTTGCAGCTAAGGTCTTCCACGCTCTCTGACTAACAGTTCCTTGTAGATTGACATCTTTTTCCGCAATTACGGTATCTATTTAAATATCACTAAGGAGATAGCGATTAAATTTGACCAGAATATTCAAGACGGGGATCGAAAATAGATTCTTATCTACAAAATTAATATATACTGTGTATATAAGATCCTACAACTCATCCGATTCCTGTAAGTTTTCCTCGAGTAACTTATGTCCCAGATTCGCGTTCAAATTAAAAATTGCCAGTTCTGGTGAAAGTGATTTATTTTTAAAATTGAAATTCCACATAAACTTTAAAATTACTTGCTTCATTTTTTAATTATTATACAATTTCTAGAAGATAATGATTAATTTCTTCTACCATATCTTTCTAACTGATTAACAACTTTTAACCGGATATTCTACTTTAGAACATTCTTATTCATTATCTTTCATCTGAAACGATACTGATAAAAATAATGATATATAATAATCGTCGAGATAAAAAGTTCTTCAGGAAGTCATAATGTACCTTTGCCTATTTGTTTCGTATTAGATTGAAAATGAAATTATTTTCCTCCTATCGTATTCTTTGTTTATTCTGTTAACCGTTAAGATAAATTCTTATATTTATGCGAAATTAATAAAATTTCCCTCCTTTCGTACGAGTTAAAAGAATTTTTCGGGTACCTGAAACTATAATTCTTTACATAAAACAAATCAAATATGAATGTAATTCAGTGCATTTTTTATTTTTACACTTTTTAAATTATAGAAGAAAATTAAAGATGGAAAATATACTTTCATATATAATACTATGTTTTTTTAGTTTAAATGCGTTTCTGAGATAGATATTCCTCGTGGCAGTATAGCAAACAATGGCCGCTTTCAATAACAATTAAATTGTGAAGATGACACTTGTACTCAGTCCGGAAACTCCAACCCACTCTATGATTAATTCACATCCTATCAGAAACTCAGAGTGAGGAGAAAACAAGGATTTACATAAAACCTGATGCGACAGAGACAGGGAATCGATGTGCCCTGCAGATGGAGTTATTTCGTCCCCCCTCTTCTCGCGGGTCCGCAGAATATCGCGTGAGGTAAGCGCGCGCCCGTTTAAATTCCCCTCCAACCATTTTATGACCAAGACAGCAGCGGTGATGGACAAATATTCGGATTTAGTGGATGGACCTGTCAGACAACGGTCATAAATATGTAAAGGATGGAAGTATGTGTTTTTGAAGGGGGGAAACGCTATGGTCCCCGTGGGACTCTCCTTACGTCTAGCGTCTAGTGGACGGGTAGAAAGTGTGAATTTACGTGGTCCATTCCTACCAGTTCACGGTAGATAAAATTTCGCATTTTCCTCCCAATTCTCTTCACTCCATTCCACCTGGTATTCTAAGTCCGGCTTTCTAATTAGAACTAGACGAAACGACGTTACAAATCACCAACTGCCGCAAAGTAATGTTGCAAAGCATACTGTTTACTGGGACTTAGACTCTACCCACCGTAATTGCCGGACAAGTGGCCACTCTCCACTCGTTTTTTACCCGTTCGGATCGCGAGACCATCCAAATCTTTTCACGGGTCCCTCGTTTGTTTCCTTCATTACCTCTTCTCCAATATCGCCGAGCTTCCGAATTCGTAATAAACTAGCTCCAGCTTCAGTTTGCCAGACGAGATATAACCAAACAACTTTTCTTTCCAAAACTTAATAATTAAAAAAGTGACTCGATGACTTAAAATTATATCTAGAATCGTTTTTCTAAGCTTTTCGAGAGAAGTAGAAAAATTGCAATTCCGTCGACAATCTTTTATCTTTTGGATCTTTCCGCTATCTTTTATTAAAAATTCTTTTTTTTTTACTTTTTATTTTTTCCCCTTCTTTCTCTTCCTCCTATCCTTTCTACCTCCACGTTTGTTATTTTCTTATTTAAATTATTAAATGTTTTGTAAACAAAATTTTTGTGTTAAGTAAAATAGATTCTTAGGGGAATTTTAGATTTAATTAGGCTTTCGTTTTTAATACGAAAAGCCCGACAAGCAGACTTTATTTTCGCAAAAACTTTGAATGAAACGTCACTTGGCGCTGGTGGAGGTGAAAAATTTACGTTTTGCTCGGTAGAGTGTGTCCCCCGAGGCGTTTCTTTTTTGACCAAATGCCTTTTGGAATCGAGACACGCAAATGTTAAGTCAGGTGATTCATTCAGCCGTGAAAACTACTGGCAGAGCACCTTAATGGCACATGTTCGATCTTTATTACGATCATTTGAATCGATCAATCATTATTCCGATTCTTCAGTCGCAGTGTCACAC